ACACTATTTTTCTTTGTATTAGTTCACTGTTTCAAATCTTCCTTACTACTGTCTGAGAACCTCGAGTCTACAGTATTTGATTATATAAATTTCTTTGGACATACATTATACTTTATGTTTTTTAAAAACAAAAATTTTAGTGTGAAAACATTTAAACATACAAAAACCTATTGTCACTTAACTTCAACAATTATCATCAACTCATTAGTCAAATTGTTTTATCTATACCTTTACCTACTCTCCTGTGCCTATAGGTTAATTAATAGTGAGCAAACCTCCAGACATACCATTTTATCTATTAGTATTTTAGTATATATCTCTAAATTGAAAAGGATTCTTTTAAAAAGTATAGCCATATTATAATGACCCCAAAATTGTTAACAATATTTCCTAATAACATCAGCTAACTAATCAATATTGAAATCTTAATTGTTTTATAATTTCCTTTTACATATAATTAATTAATTAATTTACTTATTTATTTTTTAATATAGTTTATTAATTATGCTATTACAGTTGTCCCATTTTCCCACTTCACTTCCCTCCACTGTGCACACTCTCTCCCACCCACATTCCCCCCCTTTAGTTCATGTCCATGTGTCATACTTATAAGTTCGTTAGCTTCTACATTTCCCGTACTATTCTTGTCCTCCCCCTGTCTATTTTCTACCATCTATGCTACTTATTCTCCATACCTTTGACCCCTCTCTCCTCCTCCCACTCCCCTGTTGCTAACCCTCCATGTAATCTCCATTTCTGTGGTTCTGTTCCTGTCCTAATTGTTTCTTTAGTTTGTTTTTGTTTTTGTTTTAGGTGTAGTTGTTAAAAAATGTGAATTTGCTGCCATTTTACTATACATGTTTTTTATCTTCTTTTTCTTAGATAAGTCCCTTTAACATTTCATATAATAAGGGCTTAGTGATGATGAACTCCTTGAACTTGACCTTATCTGAGAAGCACTTTATCTGCCCTTCCATTCTAAATGAAAGCTTTGCTGGATAGAGCAATCTTGGATGTAGGTCCTTGTCTTTCATGACTTGGAATATTTCTTTCCAGCCCCTTCTTGCCTGTGAGGTCTCTTTTGAGAAATCAGCTGACAGTCTGATGGGAACTCCATTGTAGGTTACTGTCTCCTTTTCCCTTGCTGCTTCTAGGATTCTCTCCTTCATTTTTATCTTGGGTAATGTAATTATGATGTGCCTTGGTGTGTTCCTTCTTGGGTCCAACTTCTTTGGGACTCTCTGAGCTTCCTGGACTTCCTGGAAGTTTATTTCCTTTGCTAGATTGTGGGAGTTCTCCTTTATTATTTGTTCAAATAACTTTTCTGTTTATTGCTCTTCCTCTTCTCCTTCTGATACCCCTATAATTCAGATGTTGGAACATTTAAAGATGTCTTGGAGGTTCCTAAGCCTCTCCTCATTTTTTAAAATTCTTGTTTCTTCCTTCTTTCCTGTTTGTTGTTTCTTTCTTCCTTCTGGTCCACTCCAATGATTTGAGCTCCAGTTTCCTTCCCATCACTGTTGGTTCCCTGTACATTTTCCTTTATTTCACTTAGCATAGCCTTCATTTTTTCATTTAATTTGCTACAAAATTCAACCAATTCTGTGAGCATCCTGATCACCAGTGCTTTGAACCTATGCATCTGATAGATTGGCTATCTCTTTGTCACTTAGTTATATTATTTCTGGAGCTTTGATCTGTTCTTTTGTTTGGGATATTTTTTTTTTGTCTTAATGCACCTGTTACATAGTGAGGGGCGGAGCCTTAGGTATTTACCATGGCGGGGCAACCCAGTTGCTGTGTTGTGACGCAGTATGTGGAAGAGGAGTCTGAGAGGGAACAATGGTGCTTGCTCTGCTCTGTGCCGGATTTTAGTCACTTACCCCGCTTCCCCCAAGCAAACTGTTCCCTCTGGTGCTGATTCCCCTGTGGGTGGGTTTGTGTATGTTCTAGGACCCTGTGGGTCTCTCTAACAAACTGTCCTGTGAGTTTCTCTCCCAGAAACTCAAGCCCCACAATGTTTTCAATCTGTGTTTTGAGGCTTTATTTCCTGGCCCTGGGACCCCGGTTTGCACAGTCTGTCTCACTCCCCAGTTTCACCTGGTTTATCTGTGCGAATGTGGTAGCGCCTGGTCCACCAGCCACCTTGTGTGCTGTGCTCCTCCAACATCCGCCACCTCTTTGGGCCCACCCACTGCCGCCTTCACACCTGGGGTCCACTAACCACTGCCTGTGCACCTGGGGTCCACCAGCTGCTGCTTTGCTGTGAGTCCTCTCCACCCAGCCTTCTGACTGTGCCCCTCATACCAGTCTGGATGAATGTTTCTTCTTTAACTCCTTGGTTGTTGGACTTCCATACAGTTCAATTTTCTGTCATTTCTGGTTATTTTTTTTGCTTCTAAATTGTTGTTGCCCTTCTTTTGGTAGTGCAAGGAGGTACAGTGTGTCTACCTATGCCTCTATCTTGGCTGGAAGTCTGTAAGTGTTTTATTGTGTTAGTTTCTTTGGTTTCTTGCTTATAAAGATAATACATGTTTATTATAAAAATATCATTCAGCACAGAAAGGCTTAATAAATTTTTAGTCCTAGTCAGTGTAACCCAGTTGGGTGGAGCATCATTCTGTAAACCAAAAAAGGTTGGTTTGATTCCCAGTCAGGATACATGCCTAGTTTGCAGGTTCAGTCCCTGGTTGGAGTATGTGAGGAAGGCAACCAGTAAATATTTCTCTCTTACATTAATGATCTCTTTCTCTCTCTCTCTCTCTCTCTCTCTCTCTCTCTCTCTCTCTCTCTCCCCCCTCACTCCCCCCCCCCTTCCTTTCTCTCTAAAAGCAATGAAAAAGTGTCCTTGGGTGAGGATTAAAAAATAATAAATTTTTGAAATTCCATGAAATGATGTTATTCAGAAATAGCCAATATATTATTCTGGTAAGCATCCTTCTAAATCTCTTTCTATGTGTAGATACACATAGATGATATTCATTTTAATGAGATCATACTGCAAGTGTGGTTTTGCATCTAATAATATGTTATGGACATTTTCTATGTCAGTGACTATATACAGATGAAAAGCAGTGCTTTCCAATGGCAGTCATCTCATGAAGGTGTCATAATTAATTTAAGCTGCCTCTTGTGCCAGACACTTAGACTCTTTCCAGTTTTTGCATTTAAGCAGCACATTCCTGTGGGAACATTTTTGTTCACCAGTCCAATCACCTTCTGAATAACTTTCTGAAAGTGGGGTGTGAGTCAAAGGCTATACATACTTTATATTGTGATACATATTTACATATTGCCCAATAATTGCTGTACCAGTTATACTTCTACCAATAACACCTGTCAGTACCCAAAAAGTTATTTTAAATCACTTGAAAAAAATTTTCATCCTCATTTGGGTTCATTTTCCTTACTTATAAAATAAAGAGGATGAAATAATCATTGGTTCTTAAACTTTTTAAGATCTTAGGACCATTTGAGAATTTTTTTTTAGTAAAACTGGGCCATTTTAATGTTCTTTACAATAAAACAGTTCTCCTGATGACTGCAAACATGTAAGCCATTATAATAACTGAAGTGTGCAGAAACATCACAGTCACATCTTCCTGATTGGTGCATAGTCTTCCAATAATTACAGGGAGTTACTTGTACGAAACTGCTGTCAAACCAGTAAGACTGCATTTATACATCCATCGTTCTCAGGATTATTGGTAACCTGGGCATATTTTCCCCAAATAACCTTGCCTCCTTGTGTCACAAGGCCCAACTTGCTTACGTTCACCTCGATGACAGTACCTTTGGTAATAACACCCAAAGTTGTATAAAGTGGGGATGAGGGATTCTTCTTTACACCAAGTATTGGCAGGCAAAAGGTGGCTTTCAGTTCAGGATGTGTTACATGGGCCTTCTTGAAACGTAAACCCATTGGTCTAATGAATCTTTCATATTTAGGTGGTTTTCTAGTAAAGCCATCTCCAACAAAGCACACTTTAGTAACCATCCTCTTCCATGCTTTTTTCTTTCTCTTTCCTGTTCGAATAACTTTTAATACCTCTGTTTCTCCCTGGGCACAAACTTTGAGCAGAGGGACTTCCCATTTTCCCGCTTTCTCTTTTCGTTTTTGTTTAATCATATTGGAAAGTACTTTAGCTCTGGACTGCCCCTCTCTGTCCAGTAGATAGGCAGGTACTGCTCCTTGAGGCGTCTTTTCATCATTCTTTTGTTTGGTGTTTCTCTTTTCATCCATCTTGATAGTCTTCTTCATTTGTATTTTCTCAGCATGGTGCTGTTTATGGTAGAGCTTAGCCTTAGACCAATCATCTTTTTTGCCTTCTTTGAACGTTCATGAGCCTCTCGACCTTCCTTTTTTCTCTTTTTCTCATGGTAATCCAAACGATATCCATAGCGCTTACGGTGTAACTCAATATACTCGTTTTGTGGCATGGTTACGGCAGCTGAGCTGCTGGGTGCAGTCCTCCACGCATTTAGAAGCGGTCAACTTTCGGGTCTCAGAGACCCACGATCCAACTCCACGCGCCCCGCGACAGGAAAGGAACACTTCTACGAGGACCGTCTCCAGTGAAAGCGCGGCATACTGGTTCCGAGTTTCCATTCTCCGCTTCTAGCGTGAAGGGCCCATTTGAGAATTTTTAAAATATGTTGAACAGAAACTGGAACTGTTATTTCAGAAAAATACACCTGTGCAAAAACACAGAAATTTTCATACACTATTCATGAGAATTCACGGATCTTCTGCAGCCAATTCACAAAGTCTTTAGGATTTCACTCCATGAATCCAAGTGAAGACTCTTTGAGGTAGTTTTAAAGTTTATTTCTCCTTTTAACACTGAACACACATACATATCACACTCATGTGCATACAGAATTTTAATGTATATTTGGAAAAACTTTGACATCTGCTTGTTACAGAACCTAGTCTTATTGTGATCAGTGAAATCACTGGAATATGTGTAGTTATTGAAATGAATTTCCATTTACTGCAGGTTCTTCAATGGCAAGCCCAGCAGGAAGAGGTAGCAAAACTGGAAATGGAAATTTCTGCCAGAAGAAAAGAAAAGGAAGAGGAGAAAGAGAAACTATGGAAGAGGAAGGAATTGTTGCAAAGAGAAGAGAAGAAAAAAAAGGTATAAATTTCACTATTACTGTGAATGTGTGAATGAATGTTTAGTTGCTTCATTGAACTTCAGTTAATCTTGGTGTTTGGCATGGAATTTTCATAGGCAGTTCTTAGGAAGATTCATAAGGTTCTAGTGGAGTTTTCCTTTAGTTTATAGGAGTTTTAAAGATTTGTGAACATGGAGGAGAACCTATTTTATTAATCTGCACAAGCACAAGTACTTGTGATTAAAAGAGATGCTATAGGTAAAGACAAGACAGCTTTCATGACTTGTTAAGTCTTGTACTAAGTAGGGGCATGGCAAAGACCAAGTGTACTGGGATAGCATTTTGGTTAACTTCAGTGCAGTAAATGATTGTCAAAAAATGTTTGTGTGAGAAAGCATTTTGAAAGATGGGACAGAGTCCTTTATCAGTTTGTAGAGGAGCTGCTGACATTTAGCCTGATACCAAAAACAATGGCAACAATAACAACAATAACCACAACTAAAGAATAGTGATGGAAGGAATAATTAAGCTGTAAGCCAAATTCATGGTCAATCTCTTGCAATTGTATAGGAAAAAGACATACATGTTATTTAAGTTCTTTTAAAAAATACTTCTTCCATTTTACAAATGTAAAAATACTTCTTATATTTAGAAGTATTTTTTAAAGTACAGAGAATGAAGTAATAAATGCATTATTATTCATCACCTAGCATTAAAATTGTTAATATTTTCATTCTGTTTCAGATTTATTAATTATACAGATAAAAGTAAAGTCTTCTTTTGTGGATGCACTCAGTACCATTTCCTTTCTTACCTTCTCAAAGGCAGTCTCGATCATGAATTTTATTTCTCTTTCTAGGCCATCTGTTGCTTCTGACATATTTCAATATGCAGTTTGTGACTTTTAATTTTTTTCATGAACGCTATCATACTGTATGATTCTTCAGATGTACATCTTCATTCAGCCTTACATTTTTGAGATATACCCATGTTTCTAGACAGAGACCTAGTTCACTCCTGCTATATGGTGTTTCATTGTAGAATGAGGCTATCATGCTACCACTTACGCCTTCTCTTAGTGGCTGACATTTAACTTTCTAAGTTTTTGTTCTTGAAACTATGCTGTAGCAGCCGCTTCATACATGTGCACTGGGGCATGTGTACATGGCTTTCTCTAGGGTGCACCTAAGAAGGAAATTACTATGTTGTCGGGTGTGTATGCTTTCAATTTCATAAGGATTTTAAATTTTATTTTATAAGATATTATAACTTTTCTTTTTGACTTTTGCCAATCTGATAAATGTGAACAGTATCTCATTGTTTTATATTGGATTCCCCTGACCACTTGTGAGATTGAAAATCTCCTTATGTTTATTGGGCAAAGTTTTCTTCGTCTGTGAATTGCTTCTTCATACTTCTTGTCTGTTTGTCTATTGTTTTCCTTAGTAATCTGTAGTTCTTTATGCATTCTGGATACTGGCTCTTTTTGTTAGTTATATAGGTTGCAAATGTTTTCTTCCAATAGTCATTTGCCTTTACATTTTGTCTGTAGTGTCTGAGGTTTCATGGAAATTTAAAATGATCAAGTAATTGAAGTTATTAAGCTTTTCCTTTATGAGCTGTGCTTTCTTTTATGAATTGTGACTTGGTAGTGAGGCCATCTCAACAGAGAGCTTTTTTTTATGCTTTCCTCTGCTAAGGGTCCTAGGCCTTTTATTGGCCCAGGACCAGTTGGTGTATCAACTTGGAGACCTGGGACCTGTGCTGGGAGCTGGAGAGGGTGCTGGCTTAGCACTGATGCACAGCCCCAGCCTTGGATCTACAGCTGACCCCTTTACTCCTGGTCCCAAGCAGAAATTCAGCCCCATTGTCACTTTCCTCAGGGGTGGTCATAGTGTATGCACCTCCCATTTCATGCATGGACAAGTCCTACATGACTTCTTGATCTCTGTAAGCTTGGTTCTACCTCCTGTGTGCAGAGGTCCTACAACTAATATTCAATGCCTGCCCACCAACTTCTCAGACCTATCTAAGATCCAGGTGTCCCCAAGAGTCCTTTGGCTTTGGCTCCCTCTCACTGTTCTGACTTTGAATTCTATTTATTTTTGGCCCTGGGACATTATTTGTATGTGTGTGTATTATATTACCATTTGCCTAAAATTTTTATGTATTTAAAGTGGGAAAGGAGATTTTTATGTTTATTCAGATGTAATCACCAGAGTTCTGGCTATTTTTATATATACTAACCAAAAATCTAGATTCTATTATTTTAGCTGTTTTATGTGTTGGTGACAGATTTTAGTACTTTAATGTTTAACATTAGGTTGGCAGAAAACTCCCTAAGGCAATTCCCCTGACTTGAGACTGGTTGCTTGGTCATGGTTTACTGTTTCACCTGCCTGGCTTTCTTATCTGATAAGAGAGCAAAAATAAAGATAAACTATGTGTAAAACCCCACCTTAGGATTTCTGAACAAGAGATACCTTTCTCCTACTTCTTATTCCCAGTGATTTGTCTTTTACAGAATAATACTGTCTTTTTGTTGGAATAACATTTTGATTTGTATTCAGTGCCAAACTTTACCTTGGTCAGTGCCCAGCTCCTTTCAAATCTACCTTTAAGTTATTAGATCACTTTTTTGTATGCTTTAAAACTCTAGATGAACACAGTATTCACAGTTTGTGTGGTTTTATCCAAGACTAAAGGACAGTTTTGATTCATAAGCTGTTAGGTGATAATGGTAATATTTCAGAAGCATCTTTGCACTTTTGAAATTATTGTCATGATAAAAACAAAAGATGATGCCCTTCTATAAATTATCCCTGGGAGCTATTGTAAGAAACAGAATTACTGGGGCTAGATGAATCTTAAAATTCTTGGTATATAATATTGGTTCCAGCACTACTTTCTCACTAGATGTGGCTCTTCAGGAGGCCTGAATAACAGAAAAATTGCTCTGCATCACAGTGTTTTAGGAGGTTTTGTTGCTGCATGATGCCTGGAGTTCTGTGGGGGTCCAAGGCAAGGGACATTTCAGCTTTGTTCCCAAAATGGAGATTTCCACCAAGGCTCACATGAAGAAGAGACTTACCCCTTTCTTTGTCTAGCATGCCACAATTCTTTTCAATTTTAGCCAACTTTTAATTCAGCATTGAAACCACCCATGTCGTATGATTGAGGGATGGGAAACATCAGGAAAATCACAGTAACTCCACCAGCCTTGTGGCCTTTGGCCTTACCTCAGAGATATTTCTGGGGAAGAATCTATCATTTTGTGATATCTTAGCTTCAAGTGACATCACACCAGTAAATACAAAAAAGAGAGAGTAGTAATCTTGGCCTTTGGGTGCACCCCCTTGTCTTCAGGTGACTTGGCAAATACTCAAAATTATATTCATCCTGCCGATAATATGGGAAATTCAGAAACAGCCTAGAACAAAAGAGGGTAGGCTATCATCAACAGAATGCAGGTTGGAGGGCTGGAATAGGGCTGCTTCTCAGATTTCAAGAAGCTCTGTGCTTGGGAGAGAATCCATAGTACTGTCACAGTTCAGATCAAGACCATTCTCTTAGTGTGGGATCTGTGGGTTCCTGTGAGAGCAATTCGTTATGGAATCATAAAGTCTCTTCTCCAGGGTTTCTTAATCTAATGATACACTGATCTAAAAAGCTATGGGTGGGGGAAAAAAGTCAACACAGAAATATGATAAAAAAACAAATTCCCAGACTTTAAACTCTGCTTCTTTAGGATTGTTTGGGACATAAATGGGCCAATGAAGAACATCTGTGATAGGCAGGCTTCTAAGATGGTCCTGAGGTGTCCTGTTCCCGTGAGGTACATGCCCAGTATAATACCATGGATTAGGTTATGTTATATGGCACAGACAACCTTGAGAAAAGGAGATTACCTGGGTGGGCTTCTCCTAATTATGAGCCCCTTAAAAGCAAAGAGTTTTCTCTGGCTACTCACAGGAGGGATAGTCAGAATTTGAAACATGAAAAGAACATGACCCACCACTGTTCATGGCTTAAAGACTGAGGAGGCCACATGGTAAGGAATGTGGGTGGCTTCTAGGAGTTGAGAGTGACGTTGAGTGACAACCAGAGAGAAAATGAGAACCTATAACCCTACAGTCCTCTAACTGTAAGGAACTGAATTTTGCCAAACACAAGAAAGAGCTTGGAAGCAGATTTTTCTCTGAAGGGTGCAGGTGAGAACTCAGCTTTCTCAACACGGCACCTTGATTTCAGCCTTGTGATGCCACAAGCAGAGAGCCCAGCCACACTGTGGTGGACTTCTGACTTAGAGGATTCTGAGCTAATAAAATGAGTGTTGTTTAAGCTACTAAATTTGTGGTAATTTGTTATACAACAATTTAAAAAAGCTAATATGGATTTTGGTACCTGGAAATAAAATGCTGTCAAAACAAATACCTAAATATATGGAAGTACCTTTGGAATTGGTAACTGGGACAGAGCTGGAAGAGTTTTCAGGAGCATGCTTTTAAAAAGGCTAGAACGCCATGAAATATAGGTGTTAGAGATGTGGCTGGTGAGGATTCAGAAGAAATCAGTGAACATATTATTGGAAACTAGAGATAGGAGAATCACTGTTATGTGGTGGCAGAAAGCCTAGGGATATTCTGTCCTGCAGTTAGGAGGAAATCACTCCTAAGTAATGAACTTCATATGTGATGAGCTAAACAGGATTTCTAACAGTGCATGAACTTTCTAGGTGATCTCAATCTATCCAGTATAATTTATGTGCCATCAATATGCTGACTAATACCAGTTAATATCTCCAGGCTAGTCTTCTCCCTTGAACTGCAAACTCACATATCCCACTGCTTCAGATCTGATATGCCCAAAATGTATTCTTGTTTTACCTTCTAAACCTACTCTTGGGTTGAGATTATTGCTGACAGCATGCAATGGAGAAAAGGCTGTGTGTGCTAATATAAAATGCTTTGTTATAACCTTAAAAAGATGAAAAGATCAGGGTATTCAGTCACATAAAAGA